TGAAAAACGTAAAATATATTAATATTTAATTTTCTTAACAATCAATCGTTTTCTTATCATCAGGTGGCAGTTGAGTAGCCTTTTCTCGTTGTTATTGCCATTATCAACAAACTGATTTGTAAAGCGTACTACAGTCACTGTTGTAAAGAGAGATTTAGGCAAACAGTTCACAGTAGAGTGATATGTTTAACTCTGGATGTCATTATTATCAGACACAGTCGCAGGAGAGCCCTATTAAGTGCATTCTTTTTAGTGAGTTTCATCCAGTTGCTAGGTCCAAAAATAACATTTCAGGTAATTTCATTTTCAATTAAAACTAAAAGCTCAACTCGCATAGTATTACTTTTTCATTTTTAGTACGTTTTATTGTATTTAAAGTTTTTAATTGTGATTTTTTATTAATTTTTTGTTTCTGAGGCCGAGGACTTGCATTTTATTTTTACAGAATGAATACAACTTACAACTAATATTAATAAATGTTTCCACCATTTACTGATTTAGCCTAAGGCTGACGTTAGTAATAGAATAAAACTATAATGCTAATACTACTGAGTAAGAGTAATGATGATTTGGAAATGCACTGCACTTTAGACTCGGTTTAGATGGGTCGTATTTAAACAAGCAATGCCAAATGTCAAAGTGTGAAAAAGCGTACCAAGCTCGGTATTTTATTATTTGGGCTACAAGTACAAGGGTGGAAAAAAAAAGACATATTTAATTAAAAGAAATATAAAATATAATTTATGGTGTATCCGTTTTATATTATAATAAAAATAAATCCAAGTGAAAAAAGGGGGCTTAGAGATAAATTATGGTATTGAAAAGGGCCAAAAACTAAAGGAAATTATATTCTCACCCATTTTGGTATTTAGTAACTTAAGTTATGGTAAATATAAATATCAAAAACTAGTATTTTGTAAATAACGTTACACTTCTAGCTGTAAAGCTTAATTTTCATTAATTTCATTCAATTAAAGCTTATATAGTTTTACTTTTCTGACAGGGTGGTTGGGCTTTGATATCTTAAGTTACTTATCCACCAGTATTCCAAGATTATATTCTTCAGTTATGCTATTGAATTACTTACAGTCTATATTAAATGTGATCTAAATTATTATAACAAAAATGCATAACTTTGCCCTAATGTATAACTAAAAGTAATTTGCCAAATATTTGTCGAACATACAAATTAATCTAAGTCATTCTATAATACCTAAACACCCTCAGGTAACTAGAAATACTCAAAAGTTAATATCATCAGCAACTTAATTAGTTTACTGATTATGTCCTTATCAGTATCATTAATGGAAATAAGAAAAAGTAAATCCTCAAGTGCTGATCCCAGAGGCATTTCATTAGTAAGAATTGTCCAGTTTGATTAGACTTAATAATTAGTGCTGGTCTACTTAATCAATATCCCAGGAGCAGTGATGACATCAGTCAGTGTCACATAAAGTAGTCAATCCATTGAAATTTCTATTTAATCAATTAAATGAATTTGGTGTTTCTGATTATTACTGTTTTCAATTATTCCAACAATCTATTAATTGAAATTATGATTGAATCACTTGTCAAAAAATATCAACTAAATGAAATTTGGGATTACTATTCCTATTACATTTGTTGTTGAGTGCAAAGCTACATAATTGGCTGTCTGTGCTCTGTCCAATTTTTGCCTTATATGTAGTAGTTTTTTTTTTTCACTTCAGGTTTTTTGTTTTAGTTATTAGGGGGAGAAACCTCCTAATTCAAGGATCTCTGATCAGAATCCTTTTACTAAACTTTCTCACCCTCTTGTTTTTTGGATTTTTTTCATGGCAAAACCTAGTAAGGCCATTTGCCACAAATTTTGAACTGCTGACTAGAAGGAAGGCAACTGGCTGGCAGCACTTGCCACTAACCTTTTTTTTTTTGCTTACTTGTATGTGAAATGATTTCAGGAACACTGTACTAATTCATTAGTCAAATGTAATGAATAAATGGGGTCATTAATTAACCCTTTCAGCACTGGCATTGGTCCATTGTATTTCACATTTTCATAAGAGTTAAATTCAAGATTTAATCAATAAACTTTATTATCAATGTATGTTAGTAAACTTGGCATTAGAACGAAGTTTGTAATTCAAGTTTTTATAATACCTAAGTTTTAACTTTTTAATTTCAAAAGAAAATTGTAAAAAATATTCTCAGTCTTCACTTGTGTGGTCATGTAATATGTGTTAAATTAATATGTAATATTATGTGTAAAATGTGTAAAACTACCAAAACATACTTACCTCCACTCACAGTACAGCTATTACTTGACTGCCAGAATTTATTTCTTTGCCCATCTAAGCATTGGTCTGATTTTTTATCGCTTGATTTATATCCCACTTAATTGCCCTTGGGGATATCTATCCTGTGACACTCTCTATCTATGTCAATTTCACCCACTATCATGGTACTGTGTATAAGCACCTCATTCAGATAATGTTATCACTTTTTCTTGACAAAGCATTCAGGAATGAGTGTCTTTTTCAACATATATCTCTGTGAGGTTCAGTTGACTCCCATCTGGCTCCATGCTATGGAACAGGCAGTCAGACTCTTACTCACATCTCCTTCTCACACTGCACAGATGGTTCTTTGTCTTTTGGAATGAGCTCACATAAGTTCCCTTCAGTGGTCACTACATGACTAATAGATCATGAACAGCAAACCAGTGGATCACCCAGTCTCCTTATTCAAGATCAACATCTTGATCTTTAGTGGCGGTTAGACTGGAACAGTACTACAATAGGTCTCCCTTTACCACCACTTTGTCCCGAGATACATCTCTTCACAGATTCATCACTTCAGGGATGAGGTGTGTATATTGATGGTCAGAAATTTCAGGGCCTATGGATGGTCAACAAAACTTCCTTCCACATCAGTATTTTTTAACTTTTTACTCTCCAAAGGGTAATGTTTCAAGGTCTGGAATTATTGAGGGGAAAAATCATCATGCTTCACACCAATGGTGTCTTACATTTCCTATTGAGGGGGTGATGAATTTGATAGCAGATCAATTGTCTTGACCCAACCAAATGGATGCAACATAATGAAGTTTTCCATTGGATTTGATCTTTGTTTGTGACAACAATAATCAATGCATTTGCCACTTATTGGAACACACAATTACAGGCATTTTGATCCCTGGTACCTCACCCTCAGGCATTGGCGATAGATGCATTCAGTCAGGACTGGACGGGATTGCACCTTTATGCTTTCCTACCGATTTGTCTGTTACCTAGAGTTCTGGCTATGGTTCAATCAACCCCTTGTACCTGATAATGACAGAACCTTGTCGAAACATTGTACATTTGCTGTTATGTTAAACTTATATTAAAGTTTTTCTTCATTAGCCATTCAAGTCGTCTCCAAGGATTATTAGCTAGATTATAGAGGTGAGCATTTTTATTACTCCTCTTGTCTCATCCTTACTTTATAGGGCCCCTTGCCTCCTTTTCAGTGGATTCCATTCTGTGATGAGTGTTGCCCAGGCAGGTGTGCTTTATCAAACCAATTCCACACAAGCAACTGCTAAGTCAATATACTTTATCTAGGTTGCAACAGGCTCTGTAGAAATGAGATGTTTGATAAGACCACCTAGAGGCTGACTGGGTGGTATTACATGGACTATCATGAGTAAAGCATAAGGGGATCCTGGAGTAAGCAAGAAAAAATCAGACCAATGCTTAAATGGGCAAAGGAAGAAACCCTGACAGATTCCTTCCCTGGATATTAGGGTTCATACTGGGCATTTGGTTTCTTAGTTGTTGAGGGTGCCAGCATGACTCACCCTTCATGGTCTTCAGATCAGTTTGCATTAGCTTACCATCAGGCTGACTGTCTGTTTCTCGACTCTCAACAGTTGGGGTTGATTTTACCTGTGTTGGGCAGTCCCTGATTACCTCTTCGGCTCTCCCTTTACACACGTGGTTTCTCTGTTATTGAAATCTCCTAGGTAGAGATGTGGCCTTGTCCCAGGTTCGTTTACTACCTCCTTATCTCTGGGATCTATGTGTAGCCCCTTTTCTTTGGTAGTATGTTTTTGGTGATGTGCCTGAAACTTTTGGAATCACATATGGAGTCAGTACATCAACTCTACTCCTTTTCTTTTTAGTTGCATGTTTGTCATATTCAGAGCTGAGACTGGTCCTTATTCCTCTTTCCTGTGCTAGTCCTTCTCAATCTTTACCTGTTCCTCCCTCCAGGGGTTCATAAACTCATTGTTTTATTTGGTGTAGATGGTCACATCACCAAAGTTACTGGTGACTACCCAATGGGTTCTGGTCCAGTGGAGACTCACTTGGCAGACTTTGTTTCCTTTTGGAGATCTTTCACCACAGATCCATGAATTATTGGGGTTTTATCCAAGGAACATTTGTAATACAATTCTTTCCCCCTCCTTTGTCTCAGGTGTCCATTTCATTCCCATTTCCTCAGGATCCTACTACCAGTAAACATCTGTCTGAGGCTGTTCAAGACCTTCTGTCTCAACAGGCTGTCGAACCTGTCCATCATCTTTCTCCAGTCTTTTATTCAAGACTGTTTGTTGTCCCCAATTAAACCAGAGACTGGCAGCCTGTGATAGATTTGTTCCACCTCAATCAATTTCTGGTCCTACCTCGCATTTCTTACCCTCAAGTGGTCTTTTTCTCTGGGCTTGTGGATGACCAAGGTGAACATTCGTGAATGCTTACTTTCATATCCCGATATCTCGTCAGTTGCGATGCTATCTTAGGTTCATTCATAACGAAGTGGTTTATCAGTTTTGTGCACTGCTCTTTGGGCTTGTTTCAGCCCCATATGTTTTTTGTCATGTAATCAAGACAATCGCCCATCACTTACATGCTGAAGGGTTGTGCTTCTATCAATTCATGGATGACTGGCTACTGTTAGCTCGTTCCAAACAGGAGTCTGCCTATCACACTTCTTGGCTGCTCCTAGAGGCAGCTCATGTGGGGTGGTCAATCAAATTAGAGAAGTTTTTCCTTCAGCCTACCCAATATCTTGTCCATTTGGGTGTTTTTTTCAATGCCAATCTCAAACGGGCCCAACCTTCTCCTTTGAACTTCATTCGATTGAGCTTTTTTTTTTTTATTGGCTTACAAGGTCAGTTGAATTGACCAATCCCATTTTGAGATAGGATAGAGAAAATAACATATAAAGTATAAAGTTTTACTGAAAAAAAAACGTTTGAAATGCATTTAGGAGGTTTTAGGGATTACATAAAGGAAATTTGAGATTTTTGAGATGAGGAAAAGTATTTTTAATTTTAATATGAAAATTACTTTGCACATGGACTATTCAAAACAAATACTCAATATATTAATGACAGATCTTTATTTCATTTTATTAAAAATACTTTACTAAAAAATATGTTTTATGTGAAAGATTTATAATATAAACTTAAAGACTGCCAAAATTTTGTGAAGATATACACACTATATTGAAAGTTAAAAGTATTAAATCTATAGACTTTAATTGAGTACAAAGAGGTCAAATGGACCAAGCCTGTATTGAGAGAGTTAAGGAAAACTTCAGTATATGAAGATTCAGACCTATCCTGAAGTAGAATTATAATGCCAGGAAACTTTTATTTACTTGAAGTTTGGTTCAATAAAAGTATTGGTGTGAAGGACTACATTTAATTTTTTTTTCAGCTGTTTTGGTTCATTGACAACATGCGACTTCAATGAGATGAATGGCCTTCTGTCACTTTGCATTTTCATACAAACTAGATTTTTTGGATTACTGTGAGTTTTAATTTACATTCATATTTTCTATTATAACTAATGTTACTCTTTTGTTCGAATTAGACACCAGAAGACTATGTTTCAAAAGAAGTGTTTGACTCCCTTAATGTCTACATTATTCCCAAACCAGAACTTCAGGGGAAGTTGATAACAGTGTAAGTGAAATTTGATTTATTTTTCATGAAGCTGACTAAGAATACCATATGTGCATATTCTTTTTCTGGTGCTAAATTATAACTTAAACTTTGACTTACTGTTCATAATTCCCTTTGAGGAGCTATGTTTATTTTCATTTAATTGTGATATTTTTACCTGAATAAATTATGTAAATTTTTAAGCCCGCCTGATCAGCAAGATTGAAGATACCAACATAATCAGAAATAAAAAATATATACCCAATTAAATATAATGTTCAAACTATATTACTTATATTGAATCCAGATCAGTTTGCTTTTGCATATCATTGTACCAACTGCCCTTTCTTTACCAGCAATTGTTAGTTTACATTTTGCTTGTTTGGAGTGCGGCCCCTGAATTTATCATGTCATTGTGTTCCTTCCAGATTCGTCATCCCCCCAGACAACCTACTCTTCCAGACTGGGATATTAATGTGGTCCTTCATTCCCTCCCTTTACCTCCATTTGAACCACTTTACTCATGTTCCATGTTTCACCTTTCCCTTAAAACGTATTTTCTTTTCTTATTAGTTGGATTTGTTTGCCATTGACATTTCACCTACACTTTACCAACCTATCTATCTTTTTCTCCTTTGTTTGGTTCAATCCTTCTTCTCAAGGAACTCGGCGGCTAGATAGAGTAACTTCTTCTTTTCAACCATTACTCTTCCTTCTATTTCTCATCTCTCCCCTTGTTCCAAGCTGGATAGATTTCTATGTCCAGTCTGTACTTTTCCTTGTTATATTGCCCACATGGGTTCCTTCTGGGTACCCATTCCTGACTCTATCTCTTGGCAGTCTTCCTCTGTTAGGGATTTTTCCCCTTCTACTCTCACCAATTCAGTTTGACGTTTAATTCAATTGGCTTATTCCTCCTTGTCTTCTCCCTCCCCGAATTTCTTCCAGATGTCTTCTCATCAGAATCAACACTTCACCTTTTCCCTTCGTTTTGTATTCTTTGTCCATTGGAGGAAATCCTACAGTCAGACATGGGGACTACACCTAATAAGTTCATCTCTCATTATTTACACCATATTGCAGTTACTTCTTTGTCTCCTGCCTGTGGCTGTTCTTCAAGCTTCAATGCAACTTTAACTTGACAAGTTTATATTCATACTTTTCTTTTCAGAGGCCCTTGCTCATTTACTCATTATAAGGATCCTGCTCAGTGGTGAGTGGTGCCTGACCAGGTATTCTTCAATTTGAAATATGCACTGTAAAGCCATGTTGATTTGCAGTTTACCTTCATAAACTTGTCCATTACGCACCGTAGCACCCGTGGACTGCATGGGTAAAGCAGAAGGGGGGACATCTTCCCATTCCTGCCGTGCCTTGTATTGAATAAATTAATATGATCTGCTTTTCAAAATAGGATTTCGCGGTCACCCATTGCACTGTCTCTGGTGATGACATTCCTCTGGACACTCCACTGCCCCCCCTACCCCATTATATGGGAGTCCTTACCACTTTCCAGTTCCAAGCCGCTGTGGTGGTTGACCATGGAGTCACCCTCCTGTATGGATTACACACAAAGATGGCTATAACTATTCTGTGCAGAGTAGGGCAGTGGTGTTCTGTGAGTGTAGATGATGTGCTATCCTCCAATATGCAATATGCAATCATTAGGGAGCAAGACATTAAATTGCAGTTCACCCCTTCGATTGGGAGCCCTCATCCTACCAACACATGGATGTCGGTACCCCATAGCTGGGTTTTGGATTTAGAGTAGAACCAATCAACATGTCCTCACATGTTTAGTGTTGTCTATATTTCTCCTTCGATCATACTCCTTCTGTGTTGTGGG